GTTTTTAAATTTTAGATAAATGTAAAAAAAGGAAGGCACCAGTTTGGATTGAGGCCAAAAAGATACAGATTAAATAAAAATAAAATACATTTTTTTTCATTTTCAATAATAACGTTATTGAACTGCATATTTACGGTTTTGTTCCATTACCTTCTGCCATCTTTTGATGTTTTTAAGCAAAGCATTGCACTACATACCTCTTGTAGTCTTCCGTGGAATTAACTCTTTTTATTAAGATAATTCTGTAAAAACTGAACTAAATGTTAATGCTAAAAATAGCATTCAGGAAATCTTAAGCTTTCATTAACAGTTAGCGTTGCTGTCCGTTGAAATTCATAGAATCTTTAACTGAAAACAGTTTTTCAAGAAAATAGGCTTCTTAAGTTCACCAATTGTGATCGCTCTTTCTAATAGTGATGGAAGTTTCCTTCTTAATGCTTTGTTTAGGGTAGTGTGGAAAGTCAACATCTTGATTATATCATTATTCTTCCTTCTAGTTACATGCGCTATTTATTTTACTTGTTTCTGTTAGAGGTTTTCAAGTGATGTGCCTTTTGTTATTTGATAAAGTTCTTTGTTTGTGATTGTCATACCTGAACGTACCTATTCTATTATTAATAGACTCTCCCACACATAATAAGTAGTAGTAGTAGTAGCGTGGAGCTCAGTGGTGTTGAGTGAGTCAGTCGATGTCGGACATTGAAGTATCAACCATCACAGCTAGATTACTGTGTCATTAACTCTTATTGCAAGTTCCTAACGTTTTGTACGTCGGAGTCTTTTAGGACAGACTTAGTGAAATACAAGCCTCCACTGTAAAAAACTACTCTAAAACAGTGATCCTGTAGCGCCAGACTATAAGATCTGCTGAAAGATTGTCTTCTTTAAGACCTACAAGATTCATTCGCTTGAATTCATTTTGAATCATTCATCTGAAAAAAAGGTTGTATATATCTGATGATTTAGACATTTCTTAACGAGCGGGACCCCATTATGACATCCACCTGAGTGTCCAGATCTGATGTGGCTATTTAAGAACACGACTCGAGTTCTTAGGTTAATGTTTTTGTTGTGGCCTGTTTAGAGACACGGAAGACGAAGGTAGGTTGAATAAGTGTATTGAAATAACAGATATATACAAATCAAGAGTGTTAGTAATAAGCAGTTAGAAGTGTACGTCCGAACGGTAGGTTAACACGTCGTCTCCGCTACCCTACGACTCTCTCTAGGAAGTCTCGCAGTTAGTATTTATGAAAGGAGGAAGAGATCATTCTACTGTAGGAGGGTTTACCACAACTATTTTGTAGGAAGTTTGTGGTATTGGGTGACACTACGCTTAGTGCACTTTATTCTATAATCATTTTCTTTATTTCTTATACTAAATATGTTATAACTGATTTAGTCCCCTAAGTGTTATCTCGTTTATTTTCAGTATTGATGGGGGTTTCTTTCGTAACCTTTGATGGAAGATCAACATTTTGATTATATTATTATGTCCCCCCCCCTTCCACTTACATTTGCTGGCTGTTTTAGTTGTTGTTGTTGCTTCTGTTGAAAGTCTTCAAGTGATGTGGTTTTTGTTGTTCGGCACAGTTCTTTGATTGTGATTCTGTAGCGCCAGTCCATGAGGCTCGAAAGAGGATGATCCTCTCTAAGACCTACTGGGTTCATTTGTTCGAAGCCGTTTTTAATTATTGATCTAAGATAGCTGACAGTTTAGACACTACTGAACAGACTGGGTGCTATGCATACCATCGATATGGAATTCTTGATTGAACGAGTCTATTAAAGGACACGACTCGCGTTCTTAGGTTTTGTAGCATCTTTTAATGTTGAACAAAACTACCCCTAGGGTAGAGCCTATTCTATGTTCAATTTACTTCTTTCTCTTATAGTAAATTTGTTCCTTTGTACCCCGAATATCTATTAACACAAAGGTGCGTGAAAACCTCTCAGCCAAGCTGTAACAATTGTTGCTTAGTTACCTAATAAACAGACAGACTCGAATTATGCTGTTAGAATATTACAGACTTTTTGCTTAACTAATTACGGACAAAATTTTTACGATGATTTATGCTTTCAGATACTTTAATTGTGATTATGACTTGTTATAATAGATAATGTGGTTCTTCGAAGGTAAGTCATAGTTGTGATTCCTCCATAGACACAGCTTCATTTTGTTTGGATAGAGGCAAGCACGGTTCGTAGTGGTTTATTTTGTTTGACTCATGATATTTTGCATTCCACGTTGTTGTAAAGTATCAACTTTTCATCGTTCGTCAAAATTTCTGGTCAAATCGGGACATTTTTCGACACGTTTTAACGGTGAATCTCTGTGGAAGCCATACATCAAAATGACGAACATAATCAGACTAGTGCAAATAACTTTCAATGCTTGATTCGGATACGCTGAATATGTCGACTATCGTACATATCGTATAACATTGATTACTTTTAAGAAATGGTTTTATTTGATCACTATCAAACTCAAATGGTTTACTCGATCGTCAAATGGTCTACTCGACCATAAAAAATATCCAGCACGAAATTTTGTAAATCACTTTTCTACCACTTCGTCCCCAGTCCCTCAACCTTCAGCTTCTTCCTCTTTGGGTTGAGGTGTCCACTCGGTCCGAACCGAACTTAGGGGTAACTGGCCGTACGCTGAGTACCCGTAGATTATTTCGACCGGTCAACTGGTCAAGTCCTGCTCGCTGCCCACGCTGTGTATGTTTTTAGATCCAGTAGGCTGGGTGTTGTCCATACGTTCACGGTCGACTGGGGATGTGGACACGGCTGTGAGAGTTGGCGCTAGAAAGTTTAGAATGTGGCAAAATAAAACAAAAAATAATATCTGCAGAAGCCAGACAACAATGGGGGAAATATTGACGTCTTTTATATAAGAAGATAACATCAAAACAGAGGTTACAGGGAGAATAAAAACATTTAACATAAATGAGAAAAGAAAAAGAAAAAGACAAAATGCATCCAGCGAATTCCCAACAGAGAGAGGGTTTGTGTGTGATAAACGCGTATTGAATCGCCTGGGGTAGGTTTATGACTAATAGGCCCGTCTCATACAGACTTCTCAGAACAGGGGTTAGTCTTCTCTCTCTCCCTCTCCTCCAAAATTCTTCTGCAAATCTCTCGACTCACTGCGACGATAGTCTTGTGACTCTCTCGACTACTGTCTCTTTCCCCGACTCTGCTTTACTAGCAAAATCTCGAGTTAATATAGAAAAAGGATCAGCTGATCACAATTGACCCTCGGCCCGGCACGCAGTTACCACGAGTGCTAAAACTATCCCTTGACATGTAAAGCTAATCTCCAATTATTTACCTTATATCAATCACGAGTTCTCGCTTCACCAAAATTATACTTTGGGATATCTAAACATTGATTCAACCTTTTAATCAAAACAAATACTATTAAAGAAAACCAAGTATCTCGCCCATCCCCACTGTTTACTAGTGACCCAGGTTTAAAACATCGCTTCCTGTCCTGAGATCGTGTTTCTCATCGGCAAACACACATCTTAACCCAAATTGTACATTGATATATAAACACCGTTTCCATTTCCAGTCAATAAAAGTTGTAGATATGGATTGGTGATTTGGTTGATTGATTTAGTGATATGATCGAAAGGTTTTACAGTTATTTGTTCATTTTGTATATGTATGAATTTCTTCTTTTGTTGTATCGATTTTAGTTTTTATATTTGTTATGGTTCTAGTTGAAACGCTTGATGACTTGCTTTCTCGCTATTGTAATTTGTTTTTCAATAACTCTTTTTCGCAATTTAATGGTATTAGTTTCTTTCACAGTTACTTAGTCGTGTAGTTCGATTTGGATCTACTAGAGTCGGCTGAAAAGTCCATAGGCTGAACAAGATACTCTCATGGAATTTAACAAAATGAGGTTTATTTTTCAACATTGTAGTCTTTGACGTCTAGATTAGTAAAGAAGTTTTCATACTGTTAATCAAAAAGTCAAATTATCCTGTTAGTCAAAGTTATCAGCAGCAGATATGATGTCATTATCACAGCAATACTGTGTAAAATAAAGTGTTTTTTTCATGTTAGGGAGCAGATGACAGTCAGATGGGACCAATTCAGAAGAATAGCGAAGGTGATGAACCAGTTCAAAGCCAAAGTCAAAGAAACAATACAGTTATTAATAAGAAGAGTTGAAATGAATGCATGCAAGATTTCACAACTCTAGCATCACTCCTTTATTTTTTAGCCCACCCGCATATTTGGACTGAAATTTTTAATTTATACAATTTTGTTTAAAGACTTACGGACGTTTTCTTTTTGTTTTGTTTTGTTTAATTTTTCTGTATATTTTGAGCTATTTTCCTAGTTTCCAGTGAAACTGCAAATGTAAATTGTCAAGAAAAATAAAACACTCAAAACAACAAAAAATACCCCCCCCCAAAAAACAAACAAACAACAAACATAAGAGAGCATGAATGGACGCGTAAAGACGCGATACTTTCAAAATCGACATGTTTAATATATTTGACAAACGATGAAACTGACATAACAACAAAAGCAATGATAATTTATGAAATTCGAAAGAACCCTGATATTCAATATTTTATATTTAAACTTTCACCGGAAACCGGTCAAAAGCATAGAGAACAAAAAAAAAAAAAATTTGTTAGTCTTTCATCAAACTTGTATAAACAAAGCTTTGATATTGTGGGTTCGACTTTCAGGTACCCTATTACTGCCAGTTAAGTTAACCTTAGCAAAAAAAAAAAAAAAAAAAAAAAATTATGTGGAGGCGCTGAAAAACTCTTAACTTAACTTACGACCCCAGATCAATATTCTGGTGTCTGGAAATTGAAATTCATATTTTTGGGAAGGGAGTTGGGCTGAGAACTTTTCAACATCCGATCCACGTTATCACTATGAAATTGTGACAAACCTCTTCATCCTGAACCTCACGGCTACCTTCGCTACTTAAATCTGTCCCATGCACTGTGGTTCGATCA